GCGACTAACGGAGCGAGCGAGAGGGTGGGCCTTGCACGTGCGAAATTGCGAGGGGGTACCTCCAACTGACTTGTGCACGGCACCCTACTAACTGGTCTCTAGCGATGTGCCAAATTTGGGCACAATCGGCCCAGCCGTTCTCGAGATCTGGAAGCGGCACCCTGCACGTGCGCACGTGCAAAATGGGTCCCAACTGACTTGTGCACGGCACCCTACTAACCGGTCCCTAACCGTGTACCAAATTTGAGCGCAATCGGTCCAGCCGTTCTCGAGATCTGGAAACGACCCCTGCACGTGCGCACGTGCAGCAGCACCCCAACTCTGGCACATGTATATGCAGTGCCTAGTGGGTGCCTACCTACATGCCAACTTTCAGCGCAATCGGCCAAGTAGTTACCGAGATATTGCAACAATTACAAAAGTGACACCTCTTCGTTTTGCACGTGGCACGTGCATAAGGGGTCACCCACATGCATCGGGAATAGTCCAATACTTGGTAGAAGGAATGAAGCTATACCCTACAAAAATTACCGCGTGTAAATCGGTCAAGTGGTTGCTGAGATATAAGCCTCGCAAAAGCGTGACCACGGCCGGCCGGCCGGCCGGCCGGCCGCTCATACTCAGAAATTTCCGTTAATCTAAGGAAAGACTACGCTCGCTTCGCTCGCTCCGTAATCACTACTATGGGTACTTGACAGGGGATGGGGGTAAATTCACGGCGAATTTAAAAAGTATTGGCTGGAATGCGCTGAATCACCGTTCCGTGCTTCTATCCTCAGGATACTGAAATCCTTCTCCTCCACGCCACAACCCCCTCCGGGCTGGACAGGCAACTTTATCTCATGCGGGCTGCTCCCTTGGAGCGGCACCGCTGCTCCCGAGGGAGCGCACCCCGTAGCCGGGTGCAGTGAGTGCCTTGGGGCTGGGTGGCCTGTCCTCTGGACGGGCTCAGCCCCGGCGACTCACTAGGGTGCCTGCCCTGACCAATGTCTCCCCCTACATCCTATCATCCTCCCGGCTCTGAAGTCTGAAATGGTCTCATTGGACCGAAAGGGCTATCATTTTTTTTTCATTTGGAGGTTCCACGTTGTACAGTCTGCCCAATGCCACATTGGTGATCTTGTATACTTAGTGGTCTTATAGAACGGTGAAGTAGACAACAAACAATGATGCCTCTTGATCTTGCTAACTCGGGTCGAGTCGGGACATTCAAAGTGTCTGTCCAATTTCTATAACGAATTTAAACAAAAACCACATTTAATAGCTAATAGTTCAGAGTATGCTGATGAACTATTTATTTAAGAGTGCTATGGTTTTCGTCAACGAAGAAGAATACATTGTGTGCTTATCTTCCCGATGAATTCCATAATACCTAATTTGTTCAGCTTGAATCTAAATGGTCCGTCGTCTAATTGCAAGTAGTGCCTTCCATTCAGGCTAGCTTGCAGGACACTTTTTAAGTAACTAACTGACCACAGCGTCAACACTTGCCGTTCGTATTTGATTTGCTATCCGTATCAAACCGCCGAGGATGTGTCGCCGGCCGCAGGTCTCCCTTCGGCTAACGTGCTTCATTTTACTTCGATATTTTTCGTTTGTTCGCCCTATCGGCGCATGATCCTTTCTTCCAGCATGCTGCTTTTAAACTTGAATGTATCGATACCGCTGGAAGTTCTCCGTTGGTAAGATGTTGCAGTACCTAACCAATCCCACGATCTCGTAAGCAGTGGTGAATTGGATTACTGTCACCTCTGCAGCCCTTCCGTATATCCTGCTCTCTCCAAAGGTGTCATTCTCCTTCCCCTGATGATCTCTGTTCTTCACCCGTGTTGGTCATCCCAGCTCCGTACCCACTCTCGGTGCTGTTAGCTTTTGTTGGCTCCGTCCTGAGTTGCGCTGGTCGGCTTCCTGTGTCTGTGTGCCCTGTATAGTTTGACCCTCCCTTAGGTGTACTTCTCGAGGTCGGAGGCGGACGGCAGGGTGGGCAGCAACAAGTAAGGCGTCACAGAGGCGATCCGAGTCTTGTCGGCACGTTCGGTGATCGGACCGAGGAACTTGAGCTGTCGGAATTTGTCCTCGCGCTTCAGGTCGATCGGGTCCAGGTTGTCGTCAAATTCGCTCCGTGGGTGACCGAGAATGCCGATCGAGGTTCGCTCCACGACGTGGGTCGTGTTCGGGTGCCGGTGCGGGTCCTCGGCCAGCAGGGCGTCCACGAACGCCGACCGGTTCTTCAGCAGGCTGTAGATAGGTTTGGGCGGCATCGGCGGGCAGTCGTAGACGCCGTACACGCGGGCCATCGCCACGCACATGGCGATGTAGTTGTGCGACGCCAGCTCGTCGGCCTTGGAGCGGTGCTTGCCCTTCGGATGGTCCCTGGCGCTCAGTTTGTTGGGCATCTGGCTGAGCAGCGCGTCGCGTCGGCGCGCCGCGTTCTGGTACTTGCCGGTGGACCGCTCGGCCTCGCGGCGCGCCGGGTCCAAGTACAGGGTGCGGAAGATGCGGCCCATCTCCCGCAGCATGACGGTGCAGTTGGGCCGGCCGAAGGTGATCCACACCACCTGGATGGTGAAGGCGTAGAGCGCCTCCCAGAACTGGCGGTCCACAGAGGAGGCCGAGATGGTGCCGAACGCTCCCTCGTTGGTGTGGTGGAACGGCATGCCCCGGCCCAGGATGAAGATGGCGTAACACCGGGAGGCCTCCAGCAGGCAGTCCTTCATGCGCACGCGCCGCTCCGCAACACCGGCCTCGTCGTACACGAGGCAGTTGTGCTGCTGCGCCATCTCGCTCAGCTTCCTCTCCTTGAAGTAGTGGTGGAAGTATTCGATGATGCTCAACAAAAAGTGGTTGACGTTCGGCATCTCCGAGAATCTGCGTCGGCCGAACGCCGTCGGAAAGAACTGACCCACGGCCGCCTCGGCCACGGCCTTGACGTCATCAATCTCGACCTTGCCCTCGATGGTGTGACCGTCGCGATCCACCACCTTGGAGACGGCGCGAGCGAAGAGGTGTCGTCCCGGCTCGGGGACAGCCATGGTTGCCGGGTTCGGGTATTGTTTGTACCTCTTCCCGAAGAGGCCGATCTGCTTTTTGATAGCCTCCTCTCCCAGCGACGTCTGGTAGAAGAGCTCCACCGGGTTGTCGTCGTCCGTCTGCCAGAAGAGGTCGCCGTTCTTGGCGTTCCACAGCCAGCGACTGTGCGCCGGCAGCTCCGGCTGCATGCTCTCGGGCAGGTCGCGGTCCGGCTCACTGCCCGTGGTCAGGTGACGGTGCGGCTGCGCGCGCCACCTCCAGTGGGCCACCGCGTGCGTCACAGCCACGGCGTTTTGGTACTGCTCGCGGGAGGCGGTGCGCCCCTGCCGGCCGGCGAGCCGGTGCCGCCGGTACCGACTCACCCGCCGCTGACCAAAGTCCAGACCCGGCAGGGTCAGATGATGGCTGCCCGCGGGGGTGTGAGTGGTGACCCTGCGGCCGCCGCCGCCGGGGTTTGACCCCCATGACACACCGGACGGATCGAGCAGCGAGCTGCTGGGCGCGCGCGACTGAGAAGTCTGGCTGGGACGCAGGCTGCGGCTGCGGGACCGGCCGCCGAGCGACTCCCGCCCAGAGAAGGACGGTCCCGGTTTGACGTCTGTGCCGCCGCCGTCACCGCCCGCTCTGATGTCGGGTGTGAGTGGTCCGTGATGAGGCCCGAACGAGCGCCGACCGCCCGTCGGCGCTGCTGCCGCCTGACCCTGTATACTGGACGAGTCCGTGCTGATATTGGCGATGCTTCGCTTCGATGGCGATGCTATGGTGGTCCCGATGGGTTCTTCTTGAATGGAAGCCATTTTACAGAAGAATGATCACTTCTATAAATGTAAGAGAGCTTCCGGTTGCGATAGTTTATTTTTGGGCTAGGTTCGTTCTAAGAGCTAGGTTCGTTTCGTTTTGGTCATAATTTAAGCTGGTAATAAGGTGAATTTGATCTTTATGCTTATTATATTTAATTTACATCTCAAGCAGCTAAAGTTTAAAAAAGTATTTCGAAAGCTAACTTATCCTGATTGCCGATGCATGGAGGTAAGCTGGCTCTTCGTGTCGTTCGTGCCCCGGTTGTGTGGACCCCAAATTGTAAACCGACGTGAATAATGATGTCGACTCAATGGCCTACTTGAATTTCAACTCATCAGCTCACGCTACTGTTCTAGCAGAGCCTCCAGGCTCCATTGTGTTTGTTTACGATAAAGTTAGCTGTGCAACAAAAATTGCACGTTTATTTCAGTTGTGCAATAAATGTATGTCCTTTGACTGGTCTTGAAATGTAACTGTTTTTTATAATTTAGTCCGAACCTTTTGAATGGAAGGATTCACAAGGACAAGCCCCCGCTAAGCGAAGCTTGTTGTGTTGACCCTACCCTCTATCCTCCGATCGCGCAATTCCAGTTCTATGGCAGAATTTAGAGTCCAAAGTTTAACTTGCGCACATAGCCGCGCACGGTCAGTCCCCTCACTGACTTCGCCTGGCCACGGCCTGCCACTAACCGCAACCATATCCTGTCATGAGGCCCATAAACGCCAAGCGCCCGTCGCGCTTCGAACCCGGACTGTTGTAACCGGGAACGAGTGCTCTCACCACGCGGAGCCCAGCGCTCTACCGACTGAGCTACGGGATTTTAGCACGAAGGGTAGGTTTTCATTGTCGTATGGATGTTTAGTCACACCCTCCCACAACGCTCACAAAATAACAGCTGTATCCATCCTTGAGATTCACTCATCAATCAAATTTTTCTTTATAGCTCCTCGTATAGTTCCCTCGCCTCCTCGTATACCTCACCCACCTCCCCGTATACATCTCTCACCTCACCGTACACCTCTCTCACCTCCCCGTACACTTCTCTCACCCTTGTATACCTCACCCACCTCCCTGTATGCCTTTCTCACCTCCTCGTAAGTACACATCTTTCACCTCCATATACCTCCCCGGGCCTCACCTCACCTCCCACACTCTATTCTCTGCCAACAGATGGCTCTGTTATCGGCTCAGCCCGGCCGCCACCTGCCGGCTGCACCTCTCGCCGGCACCTCAGCTACCACAGCCCGCAGTCGCCGACGGGACGCCGGTGGGGGCTGTGTGTGCTGTGCGGGGGAGACTCCACCGTCGCGCGCGCGAGTCTCCCGTGCGGCGCGTCCCACGGACCGCGGAGGGGCCGGTGGTGGCAGTGGTGTCGGTGGCGATGCGAGTCGCTGCCGACGGCTGGTGAGACGACCGAGCGCTGACTCGAGTGTGTGACCATGAGGAGCGGAGAGGCGAGCGCGCTGCTGTGGACGCTGGCAGTGACCGCGGCGCTGACCGCCGTCCGAGCGCATAGCGACTGTCCGCCGAGATGCCTCTGCTTCCGGACGACGGTGCGCTGCATGTTCCTGGGCCTGAGACAGCTGCCGCAGGTTCCCGAGGCGACTACTATTCTGTGAGTACCTGCAGAGTGACTGAGTGAACAGTGACAGTACGCCGGTCCGGTGCAGTAACTAGTCACGAGATGAATGGTTACATTAGTTGACATCACCATTCCAGGGCTACTTCGGTAGCGGTTGAAACGTGACCCGTCATCTTGACTCTCAGTCTTCGTCCATACTGTCGTGACATTTATTGTCTGATTTTATCAGCGGAACATGTGACCCCATCACTGTATCTTCCACCGTGGCTTCGTGACGGCACGATATTCATGGACTCTCGGCTGTCTCACCTGCCACTTCACTACTGCAGTTGAATCCATAGCCACAGCAGCTACAGTGGAGTTACAATAGAGCTCCTATAACACTAGCTGACCTCATGGCGCCGCACCCCAGTTAGCAATACAGCAGCGCCACAGTAGCAGCTCCCCTCACACCGTGCTGCCTTACACCGGCGTATCACGGGCTCCATCACTGCCGAGGTCGGCAGCTCATGCGCTGTGTCGCGCCGGCGTCCATGTCACCCCGGACCATAACCGGCCAGCCAGTGACAAATCGCCTTAGTGAAGACGGCCGGCTTGGCTACAGCAGCCACTCTCGTATTCGGGCATCGCCGCCGCCCTGAGGCGCCGGACTGGGCGAGCGGCGAGTCTGACTCTCCCGCCCCGCTAAGCCCGTCCGCCTCGCTGCTGAGTCCAGCCGAGTCAATACTCAGAGATTCTAGTCGCGATGGAGTGACTCGAGTCGAGAGACAGGCTGGTTAGATTCAGCGAGAGATAGCTGCTTATGAGTATGGCTACAAGTCGTAAACATATCTGCATATTGGGAAAGCGGGGTTGTTTGGGTCGCGGCTGGTCGTCGGGTGCTCGCCCACGCAATGGTCTGCTAATCTCCTGTGAGGCGAATGAAGCGGTCTTCCGTCTTCTCGACCAACCGATCTGATCTCACACTATGTCTGTGGCCCATAACGCCCGTGAGATGGACATTGGACAGCGATTCGATGCATAAAAAATTGCAGCATCCTTCGGAGGTCAACTTTTCCTTGAGACCAACATTTACATGGCGAAGAAGTCTCTCACGTATCCGTCGGTCCATCCATACATCTGTCCATGCCCTGAATTGTTCATCCGTCCATCGGTCTATCTCTGCCCACTCGCTCGTCTATCCGTCAATCCGTCCTTCTGTCCGCCCGTCCGCCCGTCCGTCCGTCCTCCCGTCCGTCCGTCTGTCCGTCCGTCTCCCGTCCGTCTCCCGTCCGTCCCCCGTCCGTCCGTCCGTCCGTCTGTCCGCCTGTCCGTCCGTCCGTCCGTCCGTCCGCCCGTCCACTTGGCAAGCTGTATGTTTGCATGTGCGCCTGATCATCTGATTCAGTCGTCCGGTCTGGTCAGCTGGCAGGCCCGGCCTGGCCGCGGTCGGTTGGAGCCAGTTTGGCGCGCGTGGCTCGGATGATGGTATCAGGCAGCCACGTACCGCCCCTGTGAGGCCGTCTGCTGCTGAGCAGACGTGGGCGGCGGCGGTGGCGGCGGGGGCGGCAGCCGGGCTGGTTACTCAGGCGGGGAGGGGAGGGGAGGGACGGACAGGACAGAGGGAGATCTCCTTGCCTGCTGGTTGAGGAGGATGTCGCGTCCTGTCATAACATTGACGGCTGGTAGTCGGTGAGTCTGTCGGTCTGACAGCGGACGGTGGGATCACCCAGGTAGAGGACAGGGGACGACGCTGCGCGTGGATATGTACTGACAGCTGCTGGACAGTGCTCCCGTCAGGCGGCGAGGCTCGGGCGCACGCGGTGTCTTGTGGCGATTCCATGTAATTCGATTCGGACGCCATACGATCGCGCTCGGTGCAATTTGATACGGTCTGATGTCATTCGGACGGTCGCTTCTTCAAGGCGCTAGGGGACGCTATATGGCCTGAGGGAACAGATCCTATAAAGGAAACAGGTCACATTAGGTCAGCATCACCAGGACTGGGAGGGAGGCCAGATTGAGTCCCAACTCGAATGATAAGTAGCTCTCTTTTTTACGGGCCATTGAATATGTCCTATAAGCGGAGTAAATAGCCGTTACTGTATTTGATGATGCTTTGTTTCTAGATAAGACTTCAAGATTCAAAATTGTCATCACATGTTAAGCTCTTGAACTGAAGACTGAAAGTTTCATGACAAGAGCCCCTCCCTTTAAGATAATGAAGAATTATGGGACTTTTGGGACAACTTATTTCACAATGCTTGCAGTTAATACTGCTAATACTAATCTGGAACACCAACGGGGCCATGGGAACCTTGCTATGCTGTGCCAGTGTTCCTCCATTAGCAGAACACGTGTCGTGCATATTGATGTGTCATTCCAATTGCACTACCGATGCCTCTGTGAAACCACCCACGTATCAGTCTGCGCTGCAGTTCTGCGCTTATAGGTACCCGCTCGGGGCCGTCCTACCCAAATGCGGAACCGCGCTAATGATTGGGTATAAACGTATGCAGACCGCTGCCCTGGCTTCGTGGAAGCAGTCCATGGAGGCCTGGGGTCTGCTGTTGATGAAAATGTTTGCTGGCAAATCGAGAAGATATATCATTATATGAATGCCTGAATAGGTACAATACATATTGCCCCTAAATGATATGTCAAGCTTGATAATATCGAACTTACTCCGTGCTTCGACGGCTTATTTTCTGGTAAGTCGTATGCGTATAGGTATCAAAGGGCGCTGCTCTGGGTATTTTGTGTTTGTCCCTCTGGGTATTTTGTGTTCCACTCATCCACCTCGCTTGCGTGTCGCGCTAGCAGGAGCGCTTCCACAGTCCACACGCCATTGTCACTTGTCACAAAATGCACGCCAAGTCGCTAAACAGCAACTTCCGGGCGGCACCGACTGTGCAGTTTGTGCCGGTGACAGTGTCATGTCAAGTTCGGTTTGGTGTGCTAATTTGGAGAGTTTTGTACTCGTTTTATATCCTTATACCCTTTACTCCCCTAAGACCGCCCTCATTCATTTCTCATCTCTAACGTCCTGTTTTCTACAGCTCACCGTCTTCCGTCTCACGCCCATTGATTAGCACAGAACACTAATCTCCTCAGCCTCGTCATCTTGTCTGCTGCCTCTCTCTCTCTCTCTCTCTCTCTCTCTCTCTCTCTCTCTCTCTCTCTCTCTCTCTCTCTCTCTCTCTCTCTCTCTCTCTCCCTCTCCCTCTTCCTCCTCTTTTGTCTTTTTCCCTCCCCCCTCGCTCTTGTCTCTTCACCCCATTCTATCACTCTTCATGTCCTCAGACTCTTGTAAGTACGATTACATACATAAATCGCCACAAGCTGACCCACAGAAGCTACGGCAGGAGCTGCAGAATCTGGGTCAATAGTGAAGTGGCGCCGATTTAGTCTGTGAATGACCGCTGCAGAGGGCGGGCCGCTCGGCGCGGCTTCATCAGCTGCTCCGTCCGTCTTGTCGGCTCGCTCCGGAGAGAGGTTTCGTAACATGCTGCCTTGTCTCCGCCCGCACGAGGTGTTGAAACGTCCACTAATTGAGCAGATGGTGGTGAATGGCATCGCCGGCTCACAAATCATCATCATGGCATCACAGGGGGAAGTTAATTGGATCCTAATTTGTATTCGGGCTTATATTGCTACAGCGGTACCTTTATAATGCCGCTCTGCGACTGACTACATTTCCTTCCAATGTCTATAGCTTAGGTATATAGATAATGAAATAACAATTGACCATGGTTTTTCCAGAATGTCAATATCACGCATACTCTCCACTATGATGACATCAACATGTGGGCGGCGTTCCTTACCGTGCGAGCTCTCTGAGACGTTGCACAGGCGCGCCCCCGTTCAGTTCAGTGTTGACCCGTGGCGCTGCCATAAGAGACGATACATCACGCTGTCGGCTGTCTGTTTTGGTATCATGCCCGGGTTTGTTTGCTGTCGGCAGCACAGGACAGACCATCTGGGTTGTGTCAGCGCCCGGACAAGGCTAAAATCCTTTTTGCTCATGCCATAAATATCTCATGAAAAAGCCACCGCACTGGCTTCGGATAAAGGCTGCCTTTCTTAGTTATATCGGGTATCAGCTTCACTTTTTATGATTTCCCTCTCAATAATGGCGACCATTTTCATCTTGTGATGGTACGAATCTGCTTCTTCCCATTAAAAACACCGTTCTCTTCTCCTCCTGACCTCTCACTCTCGACTCTCTATGGGGCCCGCGACAGGTATCGGTCACGGCTCACACTATTACACCGCTGATCTGCTCGATCCCTCTCCTATACCGCCGCGCTCTCCCACGCTGATACGGTATCGGAGGACGCTCTCCGACCCGCGGCCACGTAGTAGGTACTCTGGTTCATTGACCGGCGGTGCTGTCTTCCCACACAGCACTTCCTGTAGTAAACAACGGCGGAAACGGGCCGGCGTGAATCTCGTCTGAGAGTGGGTAGGGAAAGGGGTGGGCTGAGAGTCTTACAGAAGCGTCTCTCAATGGTTATTGTTTCATTTCCTTTTTCTCTTCTTGATGGCTCTGGCTTAAATCTTTGGATGCTCGATGTTTTTCTATTATTCTGACTCATCTGAGTCATCTTTTTCTTCTTACCCTATCTCCTTTTCTTCCTCTTCCCTTTACTCCATCTCCCATCTAACTCTGTCGCTCATTCCATCATCTTCCTCTCTCTTTCTCTCTATCTCTCTCTCTTTCTCTCTCTCTCTTTTTCTCTCCCTTTCTTTCTCTCTCTCTCTCTCGCTCTCTCTCTCCCACCTCTCGCTCTTTTTCCTACCTTTCCGACCCCTTTTTCTCTCTCCCAGTTCTCTCCACACACCAGCTGATCAAAATAAGTATGCGCCGGACGTAGTTCATGACCGATGGCCACTCTCGATAATAGCGGCATCTCACGTGCCCCCGGCGGGGAAACGGCTCCTCAATCATTGGCACGTGGTGCCTGCAATCTCAATAACTAGCTATAGCCGACCGGGTGTGATCTAGACCGGCCTCATTCACCAGAAATTTGTCATCATTTCTCTGGTGTGTC